TACAATTTAATAAAGGCTACATACAATTTATTGAAGGCTACATACAATTAATCAAAGGCTACATACAATGAAATAAAGGCTACATACAATTAAATAAAGCTACATACAATTCAATAAAGGCTACATGCAATAACATAAAGGCTCCATACAATTAAATAAAGGCTCCATATAATTAAATAAAGGCTACATACAATTAAATGAACGCTACATACAATTAAATGAAGGTTACATACAATTAAATGAAGGCTACATGCCATAAAATGAACGCTACTTACAATTAAATAAAGGCTACACACAATTAATTGAAGGCTACAAACAATTTAGTGAAGGCTAGATACAATTAAATGAAGGCTAAATACAATTAAATGAAGGCTATATACAATAAAATGAAGGCTACATACAATTAAATGAACGCTACATACAATTAAATGAAGGCTACATACAATTAAATGAAGGCTACATACAATTAAATGAAGGTTAATACAATTAAATGAAGGCTACATACAATTAAATGAAGGCTACATACAATTAAATGAAGGCTACATACATTTAAATGAAGGCTACATACAATTAAATGAAGGCTACATACAATTAAATGAAGGCTATATACAATTAAATGAAGGCTACATACAATTAAATAAAGGTGACATACAATTAAATGAATGCCACATACAATTAAATGAAGGCTACATACAATTAAATGAGGGCGATATACTATTAAATGAAGGCTACATACAATTTAAATGAATGCTACATACAATTAAATGAATGCTACATACAATTAAATGAATGCTACATACAATTAAATGAAGGCTACATACAACTAAATGAATGCTACATACAATTAAATGAATGATACATACAATTAAATAAAGGCTACATACCATAAAATGAAGGTTACATACAATTAAATGAAGGCTACATACAATTAAATGAAGGCTACATACAATTAAATGAAGACTACATTCAATTAAATAAAGGCTATATACAATTAAATGAAGGCTACATACAATTAAATAAAGTTTACTTACATTTAATTAAAGGCTACATAGAAAAAAATAAAGGCTACAAACATTTAAATAAAGGCTCTATACAATTATATAAAGGCTACATACAATTAAATAAAGGCGACATACAATTAAATGAAGGCGACATACTATTCAATGAAGGTTACATACAATTAAATGAAGGCTACATACAATTAAATGAATGCTACATATAATTAAATGAATGCTACATACAATTAAATGAATGCTACATACAATTAAATGAAGGCTACATACAATTAAATAAAGTTTACATACAAATAAATAAAGGCTAAATACAATGAAATGAAGGCTACATACAATTAAATAAAGGCTACATTCAAATAAATAAAGGCTACATGCAATAAAATAAAGGCTCCATACAATTAAATAAAGGCTCCATATAATTAAATAAAGGCTCCATACAATTAAATAAAAGCTACATACAATTAAATGAATGCTACATACAATTAAATGAAGGCTACATACAATTAAATGAAGGCTACATACAATTAAATGAAGGATACATACAATTAAATGAAGGCTACATACAATTAAATGAAGGCTACATACAATTAAATGAAGGCTACATACAATTAAATGAAGGCTACATACAATTAAATGAAGGCTACATACAAAATTTACTTCCGATGTATGTTAATTTACTTCCGAACATACAATTAAATGAAGGCTACATACAATTAAATGAAGGCTACATACAATTAAATGAAGGCTACATACAATTAAATGAAGGCTACATACAATGAAATGAAGGCTACATACAATTAAATATAGGTTACTTACATTTAATTAAAGGCAACATACAAATAAATAAAGGCTACAAACATTTAAATAAAGGCTCTATACAATTATATAAAGGCTACATACAATTAAATGAAGGCTACATATGTAGTAGTGGGGTGTGGTGGGTGACGTAGGTGCTTGGGTGTACCAAGGCTGCCACTGACAGTTACTAATAAACAAGTGAAGAAATGCAGGTCTCGAGGACTATAGCTTTATTAATGCTCTACCAAGCAATCCACTATGATAAAAAAAGGCCAACACTTGTTATGATTAAGAACAAGATGTAAGAAAATGTCCACTATGAAGAAAAAGGCCTACACTTGTTATAATTTAGAAAAGGATGTAGGAAAATGTCCACTATGAAGAAAAAAAAGGACAATATAGAGCGCTCCAATGGGCCACACTGAACAAAGGCACACTGCAGGTATGCTGACCAATCTCGAATTGACCCCTTATTCGTGTGCTCCCCTTTGTAAAGCCGTGCGCGGACACATAAGAGAGCCCCTACGTCACCCACCACACCACACTACTACAGTTTTTGGCGCTGCGAGCAGGGTATAATTGAGGATAGCTTTGCAGAATCCAATTTAGAACTTTAGAAGAAAAAGGACAACTATAGAACTAAGAATGGAGCCAGCAGTCGTAGAACAAATACAAGTCGCCAACAGGCTGCCCAAACTCCCCAGATTTACCGGTGAGAGTGGAGCCGAGCAATTTGTTAAGGAGGCGAAACTTTTCCTCCGGTTGCAGCCGATGCCTGCAGCCACGGCAGTCACCTGGATTTTGGGTGCCCTTGAGGGACGAGCTCGCCAGGACATTCTTGATCGTGCTGCAACAACCATCGACACACCAGAAAAACTGCTGCAACTGATCCAGCAGAACTGGGGTGAGCAGCGTGACGGCACAGCACTTTCTGCTGCATTTGACCGCCGGCAAAAAGGCATCGGTGAAACTAGTGAGGACTATGCGGCAGAACTGCGAGGCCTCTACATGCTTGCCAACTCCGCACGACCAGGAAGTCTTACGGATGATATGCTGAGGGACGCCTTCATACATGGCCTGCAACCAGCCGCCCTCCGCAGGGACGTAAAGGCATACGTCCGAATTAACAACGGGCGCACCTTTGAAGACGTCCGGAAGGAAGCACAACGATGGATGCGGGAGGACTTCTCAGATGTTGCCGCAGCAGCCCAGCTCCCAGTAGCTTCAACCCCTGATCTGACCCAAATAACTGCCCAATTGATGGCTAGAATTGATCAGCAAGTGACAGCTGTGGCAGACCAATATCGTCCCCAAGCACACCAGTTCAGGGAGAACCTTGTCACACGTAGCAACGACTCTCCACCAGTCCCTCGACAGCAGCTACCACCCCAATTCCGGTGACAAAACCCCCACCGAGTCAAGCTTTGTCTGTGGTGTAATCGCAGGGGCCACTCAGAATCAGACTGCAGGGCCAAGAGGAGTTACATCGCCCAAACTAACAGGCAACAACTACAACAAACACAGAGGTCACAGCAGGCCACACGACCACATCCGTCTAACTTCAACCAACAACATGCGACCCAGGGAAACTTATAAACCCTGTTGCTGTCAACCGACAAGCAACGGGGGCGCCGATAGGACTAATTGGAAAGTGCCCCACTCTGGATGTCATCCTAAATGGACACCAGGTAGCGGCTCTTATTGACACCGGGAGCGAAGTCAGCACCGTCACAGAATCCTGGGCACTCCAACATATTGGCCACCTCCATCTGGCAACCGGCTTCATTACCGTACGAGCCGTTAATGGAGCGGAGGTGCCATACCTAGGGATATTAACTGTCGACCTGCAACTTTTAGGACATAATCTACAGAAAAAAACTGTTGTTAAACGCACTCTTATTTTACGGATATTACCCATGGATGGGCCGAGTTTGTTTCATTCTCGCTTGAGATTCGAGATCATGAGACATATTTCTATTACGATTGGTAAATAAAGGATGTAACCTAATTTTTAATAGATTAATAGCCTCTTTTTGACTAAAATGAATACCAAATTTTAACTCATTTGCATTTTGCGAAACAAATATGTATGTTTCTGATTTGAAACCCTATTTAAACTCAACCAAAACAAACAGTAAAAATATGCACATCTCACGAATGAATTTAATAGAAAATTTTAAACAAAATAAATTAAATCCTTCTTTTTGACTCAGCTGTACTTAAAGGGACATTTTAAGTGTTGTACGTTGTTTTTACCGGCTCTTGCTTGCTGTGCCAGTTGATTGTAGCTTAAAGAAAGCATCTAAGAAGGGAGGCAAATGGGTTATTATTTGTGTTTAATGCTCGACCAGAGGTATTGCCCTTGTTTTGACGCTCTTAAACTTTGTAGTGAGACCACATTTTCTGAAGTATAGATTCTGAGAGGGCTCAATGTTCCCGTACTTTTTGTTGGGGCTAAATATTTAATTGGGTTGGGGGGGGGGATCTTGGTTGCACCCCCCTTACTTTTTTCACAGGAGTCCAGCCCCTGAGTAGGAAGGTCACAGTAACTTTAACCCTTGAAATGTATCCGTCAGTTACATTAAGTTATACTTTTAAGCAGTTTCAGATTTATGTACGGGGTGCAAAGACGCCTTTGCTTCAGTGGCTTAGCTAGAATATTGGCGCCCGGTGCTGGCCAAGCTTTTTTTGCCCCATTTTCACGAAAACAACTACCCCGCAAAAAATGCCGCCCCTCATTATAATGAAAAAAAAATGCGCCCCTATCAGCCCCTCCTCCGTACCCCCTTCCTCCCACGCCCCTGCTTGCCTTCATTATGCGTGTGTCTCTAGGTAGCGAACGCCATTTGGACCCTTCTGGTTTAATACATTCAAAGGATGCATCACGTGATCCCTACATCTGACCCTCAAAGTAGTGCATTTGGTTGATTTATTATTTTAGGACGTGGCATCTGGGAACATTTTTCTAAGTTCGTGTCCACTGCGTGACCTTTATTTAATTGAAAATAGCCTCCATTTAATTGTGTGTAGCCTTCATTTAATTGTATGTAATCTTCATTTAATTGTATGTACTTAAGAATCTCCAAAGGTTCACAGTAGGCAAGAAGATTAGAACCGCTACCACAAAGTGTTTAAGTGAAACTATTTGTACAGCTTAGATATCCACTGAGCATTTCAGATCAAAAGCATTTATTTCTTACAAACAGCATATTTAGATGAGCCGAAAGTGGAATAAAAAGTGGCCTTGAAAGCGGAGCTCAACGAGAAGAATATAAAAAAATTCACCGAAGCGTTTGTAAAATCCAGTATAAAGAGGAACTTGGCGACCGTCATGAAAAAGTTGTGGTACCTCCTGAGAACGTAGAACTCCGGTTCCACTAACTGACCAACGTAGAAGACGATCCTAGGGAACAGGTTCCCGATGTTGACAATGACCACCGCCAGAAGCATCTTGGCGACTTGCTTCTCCCTCTGGGAAATCCCGGAAGCGAATCTTGCAGGCGCGACTTTGGAGCTGTGTTCGCGACCCGCCAAGAACCTGGACGACTGCCTCAAGAAATACAGCGTTGTTAGAGAGCAGAGACATAGGATGGCGAAGCTTGAGAAAGGCAGAATAATGGCGACGCATTTGTAGTACAGCATTACGATGAACTCGTTATTGTAGTAGAAAGCGTTGTATCTGTAAAAGGCGACAGTCTCGTTAAGATACGGGCTGAACTGGTAGGCGATCTCGTACACAAAGTACATCACCAGGTAGGCCCCGAAAACGACGCACGAGATGAGGGTCACCATGGTGATTGTAAACTTAGGGGTGAACATCGATTTGACGGTGAACGGTTTGCTGACGCAGAGACACCTCTCCACGGAGACGTAAGTCGCCAGCGCGTACGATACGTAACTGGCAAACACGGGCGTGTACTCCACGTAAGGGAACGTGATGTTTCGCCAAGACGTCGCCAGACCAGGGGCGGCCAGACTGATGGGGCCGAACATGCGGTGGACGAGTCCGGTCAAACATTTGACCAGGTCCCAAAACGTGATGGCCATCATGGAGATGTTGGTGCCATCTTTGAATCCCTGGGTCATAAAGACGACGGCGTTGAGTGAATTGGTGATGAGGCCAAAGCAGGACAAAAAGAGCAGCGCCCAGAAAGCGACGTAGGTCTCAAAGTACACGAAGAGCTCGTCGCTGACAATCTTATCGAAACGCACCACGCTATAGATCGTTGTTGGTGTGGTCTTGGGGTAGATCTTTGCTTGGGTCAGTCTTCCTGAATGGGTGGTGAATAGTTTCAATGGATCCGTCGTGGTGTCGACGGAATCATCGCTACCATAAAGTTGAGTCATTGTCAGGTGATAATCACAAATCACAATGATGGAAAGAAAAGGCTTTATTCGCGTCAGTATTGTTTAAAAAAAATTCCCTGAGCTGTATCAATCTCTATATGAAAAAGCTGGGGGCAATTCTCTCGGAATATACGCGTCAATATTACTTTTGTCTTATTTATGTCACTATTTACCAGGGGGTAAATAATGTGAAGAACCAAGAGATGTTGTTAAAGAAATTGGGTGACTAAAAACTTCCTTCGTTTTAAAGGCGTAGATTTAGACTGTTCTTTCCTATCCCCTGAGTCAATATAACCAGATTGAGGTCACGGGATTTAAATTATCAAATATCCTATCAAAATTCAAACGTAAATTATTTGTACATGCGCGTGTTAAAATGATATACTCTGACGAGGTAAATAATATTTCAGCCCATATTATTACAAATTAACTTGTATTCGATATTTAAATGCTGAAGCTGTTACAAAAGTTCAACTCTTTAACTTTCTTTAATTCTTTTAATTAATCATTTAAATGAATTTCGACGCATCATTATATTTTCTACTCTACTTCCCCGACCATGTAGGATATAGTGATTGAATTATAACAGTCTTAACTCAAGCCTTAATTCAAACACATTAGTGTGTAAAAACAAGTTATTAGTGAATGTAATTCTCTGCCATAATGTGTCATTAGATTAATGTCTCTTGCATTAGTAATCATTAAATAGCACACCTTCACGGTGTGGCAGCTCCATAAGAGATAAGTGGCGGAGGTGTCAGGTACAAGAGATGATGCAATAAGGCTGTAATGTTGTTTAATTTCGGTGTTTTTAAACATGAATTCTCAGATTCCCTTGTGGGTCGATGGCACAGTGAAGTACAAATAATTAGTCATTTAGTCACCGTTGTCGTTGGCGGTTGTTTAAAACTTAACCCAAATGTTTATTTTGGAATCCATGGGTTCACCATACATGGGGCCGGCGCTCTGTACTACAAAACATGCGTGATGGAACTGTATTTATTCGTAACCACGTTACTGCACGACTTTATACAGTTAAAATTACGACGATCATGTATGTATGCATGTATGTAAATTGCACCTGTTGGGTTGGAAGTTTATATGTTTTAAATTAGTGCCGTCATGACGTATACTTTTCCGGCCGATGCTGAAGTGAATGCACCAAAGTCACTGAAGTTAATTCACCAAAGTCATTGAAGTCAATGTACCGAAGTCACTGAAGTCAATGCACGAAAGTCACTAAAGTTAATGCACCAAAGTCACTGACGTCAATGCACCAAAGTCACTGAATTCATTGCATCAAAGTCACTGAAGTCAGTCCACCAAAGTCACTGAAGTCATTGCACCGAAGTCACTGAAGTCGTTTGAGTGGTCCTAATACCGAGATGACCGAGATTAAATAATCAATATTAATTACAAAATGACATATATAGTGATCACCATATTTATTTTTAATTAGTGATGGACCTACTGAGAGTTAAAATAAAGTCAGTTAACCAACAACCAAATAATTTATAACTATTTAACCTACAGAGGTTTAAACAAAAGAAAGTTAACTGCATATACGTAACCTACAGCCAGTTGAAATACAGACCTTCATTCTGCGGATGGTTAACCGACAGCCAGTTCACCTGCAGAGAGTATATCTATCGCCGGTTAACTTCCAGTGTGTCGATTTGTTGACACATCTCGAGTTTAAGCTAACAAATTATAACACATTATACTATGTGAATTTATTTGGGTACGACCGGTTAGGAAAAATGTGTTTATTTCTGTTGGGGAAAAGAGCGAGTAGATTGGATTCCATTTTAAGATAAGATAAGATAAGATTCTTTTATTGATCCAAATAAATGGAAATGTTTTTTGATTGCATTATACATTTTCAGCACAAAAATAAAACAATTTGAACACAAGACATTTATAATACGTTATTTCAAACAATTTCAGTGAGTTCTCTTAGCAAAATCGGGGACTTATTAGTTCTCATTCAGATGTGTGACTTCAGAGGAAGCACGCCGGTAAATTCGTACAGATTGGGGAACAAAATAATTTGTATATCGGTCAGTCCTCGCCCTGATGGAAAGAATTCGTCCCGAACGGCCCGATCCTAAGTATCTAGGATGAAGAGGGTGGAATGTATCATCCAAAATATGTTTAGTTTTGCAAAAATATCTTTCTTCAAATAGTTCTTCAAGTGAAGGATGTTTAGTTTGTGTTATGTTTCTAGCTTTATGATTTGTCGGTTTATGCGGTGTTTAATATCAGACGTTGAATTTCCACACCAGCAGGTAATACTGAAATCAAGCAGGCTTCCAATAGTTGCAGTGTAGAATAAGTTAAAGACTTGCTTGTTTACGCCAAAATTGTACAGTTTTTTGAGGTAGAACAGTCTTTGGTTGAATTTCTTATACAGGTTTTGGCCGTGCTCCTGCCATGTTAGCTTATTATTGATGGTGACACCTAAGTACTTGTACGCCTCCACTTTCTCCACATTTTGATTTTTTATGTTGAGGTCTGTTATCAGGTGTTTCCCCCTCCTGAAATCAACAACCATTTCTTTTGTTTTTGAGACATTCAACTGGAAAAAATTTTCATCGCATCAATTGATAAAGCTTGTTACTAAGTTACGGTATAAGCCTTCTCCTTCAGATATTAAGCCAACAATCGTGGTATCATCAGCAAATTTTAAGATTGGAACGGTGTTGCTTGAGCTTTGAATATCATTTGTCTATATTGTATACAGTACAGGAGAGAGAACGTAGCCTTGTGGTATCATTGGAAGCGGCAGTCACCCTGGCTCTGTAAACATGGATTGGATGATGACACCACGAATTGAATGGAAAGACATTATTCAGATTGAAAGCATTCTATTAAAAAAAATATTTGGTAAGTTATAATTAGCCCTACTGAACTTTCTGGAATCGAGTTTAGAAATAACAAATATAATTTTTCAAGCAACCGGAATGGAACAAAGTAGGTGTCAGCCACAGGGACCATACTTAATTCTAAAAAAAAAAAAAGACGTAACCTAATAAAAGAAATTAAAACTTTAAACAACTTTTTTGTATAGATATAATAGCAAAAGCCAAATACATATGCAGTGGCGTAGTGAGAGGGGTGTGGGCCGCACCGGGTGACACAATTTTAGGGGTGACACCCATTTGAAAATGTGCATATTTACATAGCATACAATTGTCGGTCTAACCGAGATTCATAAAAGGATAACAGATCACACATACATTTTTCACACATGTAACCAATCCAAATGCGTGCTTTATTAAAAGTTCAAGATTGATGCGCCAGAAATGAGATGATCCTATGTTTAGGTCAGAAAAACACAGTATTTATTTCACGCCGATTGAAGTGTTCGGTAACTTCCTTAAGTGACAGGAGGCTATATTTATTTAAAGTCTAAGAAATAGGGCTTTCCATTGATACCTTATACGGTGTGGTCAGCCGAGTCTAAGTATAAGAATCGGTAAAAATTAAAAAGATGAAAAATGAATTTTTACACATTTATAGAGTTAACAAATATATTATTTTACACAATTCTCAACCCTTTAATGAATAATTCTTATTTATTTAAATTTAAATAAAGAAAAGGTTTTTTGAAGACATATATAATGTTATATATCGAAACCCGGTGTCAAGGGTATGAGAATCACTGTAGATATGTGTAGCTGTATCGATGGTGTGAGAGTGTTGCGACGTATTTGGGTAACGAAGTGGCTATTCGTACCCAGGTACCAGAAGTGAGAGGTTGGGATTAAAAACTATTTAAAATTTTATTTGTTGGGTTTGTAAGACAAAGTGAGGTATGAAATGAAAGATAATTGAATGGACGATATGTTTGTAAACTTAATTCTTCAGTTTAACTAAAATAAACTACCACGCATGACATCCGAATTGCACTGAGTCAAAATGGATCCAGACACGCAGCGCCGCCATTCGCACCGGGGTACAAGACGATCCCTTTGACATGGCACAAGAGAGATGCCTTGATAATGTACCAGCGGGTTCTTTTGCTTTCGTACAACAGGGAGATTTGGGGTTTATGCGGCAGAGCTTTGTGGAGAAGTATGATTTGTGTTTTGCACGAGATTTTGTAGGTTTTAGGACCTGGACAGGTCACGGTGTTGCGAAGTGGAAATCGGGAGCTGGTCAATGGCTGCCCCAAGTCGGGGGCGTACATAAAATAAAGTAGAAGTCGTTGAAAGCGACTTTATGTGGAGCTAAGAGGGTCGTAGTCCGATTGTTGAAGTTTTTTGAGTTGGAGACACGGGTTGCTCAAAGTTTGAGAACCGTCATATGGTTGGGTTGAGGCTATCTCAGACTCAGAAAATCTGGTGGTAGCTGGCGGGTTTTACCGTGGCTACATAGTTTCCGTGGAGGAGGTGAACTTTCTCCCTGAGGTAGGGTTAGGGGAGACAAATCGCGCAGTAGTTGATGATTTATGTCATGACAGCCGGGTTGCTCACAGGTTAAGAGCAGACAGTGCTCAGACCATAAGTTTAATGAAGAGTTTGATTTGGCTGAGGAGGTGAGAGGTTTTCATGAGTTAAGAGGTGAAGATAACGATTTTTATGTTACTAAGTTAGGTAAACATTGTAGTGTGACGATCGGTTATACATTGGTGTTCAACTTAACACACATGTTACTCTAAGGGGTTAAATTTGGGTCATTTGTGGTGTAACACGTGATAATTAACTAGGGAGAGTTGAACAGGAATATAAAGATGCACGCTTCTACCAGGCTTAGGACAA